TGAAATTGTCATCAAATATCAATGTAATACTTGGCAAGTTTGGAAAATAAAAGATTAAAGTTAAAACCTGTCTCTTGCCGGGCGCGGTGGCTCAAGCCTGTAATCCCAGCACTTTGGGAGGCCGAGGCGGGTGGATCACGAGGTCAAGAGATCGAGACCATCCTGGTCAACAAGGTGAAACCCCGTCTCTACTAAAAATACATAAATTAGCTGGGCATGGTTGTGCGTGCCTGTAATCCCAGCTACTCAGGAGGCTGAGGCAGGAGAACTGCCTGAACCCAGGAGGCGGAGTTTGCGGTGAGCCGAGATTGCGCCATTGCACTCCAGCCTGGGTAACAAGAGCGAAACTCCGTCTCAAAAAAAAAAAAAAAAAAAAAAACCTGTCTCTTTAGCTCAGGACTTTCCAGAACCCTTAATGTGATAATATGAATTCTAATCTCCAAATAAAATGTGCAAACATTACTCAAGGTTACACAGCTAGCTAATGGCAAATTTAGAACCGTAACTTAATTCTTCTGATTCCCACTCCAAAATTTGTTCTACTTCCCCAAGACTTTATAATATCTGATCTTAAAGGAAGAAACTTTGCAAGCATCACTTCTACAGAAATACAAGATGGGAAACATTAGTGGTTTGTTCCAACTGAAATATTTACCACCAATATTTACTACCACCCCGCTAAAACAAAAAAAAAAAGTAGCAAATAATTTTTATATAACAAGCCTCTTCAAAAAAAGCTAAGAAGGCCAGGAGCAGTAGTCACGCCTGTAATCCCAACACTTTGGGAGGCCAATGTGGGTGGACCACCTGAGGTTAGGAGTTTGAGACCAGCCTGACCAACATAGTGAAATCCCTTCTCTACTAAAAATATAAAAATTAGCCGGTGTGGTTGTGTGGTCCCAGCTCCTCAGAAGGCTGAGGCAGGAGAATCACTTGAACCCAGGAGGCAGAGGTTGCAGTGAGCTGAGATCGTGCCATTGCACTCCAGCCTGGGCGACAGGGCAAGACACTGTCTCAAGAAAAAAAAAAAAAAAAAAAGGGGGGGCCAGGCGCTGTGGCTCACGCCTATAATCCCAGCACTTTGGGAGCCCGAGGCAGGTGGAACACGAGGTCAAGAGATCGAGACCATCCTGGTCAACATGGTGAAACCCCGTCTCTACCAAAAATACAAAAAATTAGCTGGGCGTGGTGGCGCATGCCTGTAATCCCAGCTACTCAGGAGGCTGAGGCAGGAGAATTGCCTGAACCCAGGAGGCAGAGGTTGCGGTGAGCCGAGATCGCGCCATTGCACTCCAGCCTGGGTAACAAGAGCAAAAACTCCGTCTCAAAAAAGAAAAAAAAAATTAGTCCAGCATGGTGGCGGGCATCTGTAGTCCCAGCTACTCAGGAGGCTGAGACAGGAGAACTGCTTGAACCCTGGAGGCAGAGATTGCAGTGAGCCGAGATCACACCGCTGCACTTCAGCCTTAGTGGCAGACCAAGACTCTGTCTCTTAAAAAAAAAAAGCTAAGAAACAGTATTTCACAGATTATACACACCAATGGTATTCCAAAACCTGTATTCTTACCAAAAATACTCCCTGTAGAAGGCCAGATATTATTTTTTCTAATCAGTACCTGACAGAACTAAGAGAATGGTAAGGATGGCAACCTAAACTGTGAGGTTCATCAGATTACGGACCATGTTTGTTTTACTCACCACCAGTACCAGAAGCGGATATACAGATGATATTCCATACATACTGTATTTGTTAAAAGAATGAATAACTCCCTGCCCTATCTTTAATTAACTTATCTTTATTAAGTTCTAGTATCTCTGAATCTTGAGTTTCCCCACTTACAAATGAAGTGGTGAGACTCAAATGATCAAGATCCCTTTCATTTTTAAGAATGTGTGAATCTGCACCTGTAATCCCAGAACTTTGGGAGGCAGAGGTAGGAGGATCGCTTGAGCCCAGGAGTTCAAGACCATCCTGGGCAACATAGTGAGACCCTGGCTCTATAAAAATTTAAAAATTAGCCAGATGTTACGGCACACAACTGTGGTCCCAGCTACTTGGGAGGCTGAAGTGGGAGGATCATCTGAGCCCAGGAGGTCCAGGCTGCAGTGAGCAATGATCATGCCATTGCACTCCAGCCTAGGCAACACAGCAAGACCCTACCAAAATAAAAACGAGTTTATGAATCTGGCCAAGCATGGTGGCTCACATCTGTAATCCCAGCACTCTGAGAGGATCACTTGAGGCCAGGAGTTGGAGACCAGCCTGGCCAAATATTAAGACACCCTCACATCAGCCCCATATCTACAAAAACTTTTGGGCATAATGGCAGGTGCCTATAGTTAAGAGCTTTGGGAGGATGAAGCAGGAGGATCACTTAAGCAGGAGACTTTTGAGACTGCAATGAGCTGTGACCATGCCACTGCACCCCAGCCTGAGTGAAGCAAAACGTTGTCTCTTTAAAAAAGTGTGACTGTTATACAAATTAAATCTCAAATCCTGAAAGCATTTGAAGATATGTCCCTGAACAAGCAAAAATTATGACAAAAGTAACATTAGCAAGATACTATATATATATCATTTAAAATACCCAGTAACCTTGTAAACTAGTCAAGTATCATTATCGACATTTTACCAGTAAAGAAATTGAGATCTAGAGAAATGGACTAGACCAGAACCACAAAGTTATGAAGTTGTGACACCTGAGCTTTAAATCCAAGATTTTAGTGTTGAAATTCCCAAATCTTTCCTTTATATTTTGTCATGTGATGACAGATAAGGAGGAAGCACTAACAGTATTCCCTGGCTTTCAGCTATTGATTCAGCAGGGCTATGGGACAGACGGTCTCCCCCAAACTCTCAGATACCCCACATCACACCAACCCAATGTTAAAGATCCAATTATTTGTGGGGAAAAAAATGATCTAAATGCAACAAATCAATCAGATTTTTCTCTTTAGAGCCCAAGGTTGACTAAACATCATTACTATAACAGAGGATGACATTCTCAAAGAATGAATTCTAAATTATAAACAAAAATCTTCTACATCAAAAGACATTTTACTTCAAATTATATGTAGTCACAGCTAAGTACAGTACTGTTACATATTAATAGACCACCTTACACCATTATTTTGCCACATTTAAAATGGGAGCTCCACTTCTGAAAACTCTGCTAAAGGAAATAAGACAATTTCAACGATTACCTCTTCCAGGTCTCGTTACATGCCATATTTCAAAACATATCACTACAAGTGCAACCTATCTAAAATTCCAATAATGAACAAACCCAGTTCTGGTCTCAAAGCTGGTGTTAAAACAAACAAACAGCATTTACATCACACACTTCTTCTCCAAGAAATACAACGAGGCAACCAGAAACATCCCAAGTTATAAGTTTCCCCACGACTCTAACCAATCAGCTGGTTCTCATATTTGTCAACCCTATTAACCTTGTGTCTTAGAATATATACATATTCTTATGTCAAATATAGTTGTTTCTAACAGCTATACCAAAACCCCTTTCAATAGAGTATAACATAATAAAATAAGTATATACTTATTAAACCTCTCCAGTATGTAACACTCCATTGAATATTCTGCCACAAAAATCTAATGAGCACTACCTTTTCTGGGGTTTACACGTGGGGAAAGTTTGTAACATGCTTAGAGTATCAAGTATAATATTAACACGCAAACACAATGCTGCACTACTACAGTTACTGAAAAACATATTTCTCCTCCTCAAAAAAAAGAAGTCAATCATTCTCATCCAAAATACGTGTACACGGTACACACAAAAATATACACCTGTCATATTAGTTACTATCGCGTTCTGTAAACTTAGTCTATTTTGGAGGACTTCAGAAAAGTTTAGTTTGTTAATACCTAAAAATCTCCAGACCAGCGGTCCCACGCCTGAAAATAACTTACCATGAACGCCAGTGAGAATTTTAACAAACCAAAACTACAAGCCACTGCATGAAGCAGTACTTAAATTCCTCTGCTGGTAAATGCTCCGCAGCATCACAGCCATCTCAAGTTCAACACCAAGTAGTTTGAGAAGAGCTGCCGACAGGCCAGTCAAAAATCTTTTGCGAACTGTCACAAAACAAAAGTCACAGAGCATGTGCCAGCTTTGCAGCCAATTCAAAACATCCTTGTATCATCGAATTCAGGCGATTCCCAGAGCAAATTATCTAGAATAACCTATGCAATTTATCAAAATGCCAAGCAGTCCCCAGGAGTGTAGAGCAAATGATCACTTTGGTCCCAGGACCGGCTCCTCTTCACACGAGGATGAATTTCCTACTTAGTGCCAACTGTACACTTGCATACTCCGAAAATAGGGGCAAGCCGTGAATACCAGAGGTTACAAAGGCAGTGTTTCTATTTTATTATGGGCTGAAGCTCAGGAGGTTCCCAACGCTGAAACGCTCGACCTATAACCCAAAAGTCACTTTCCAACTGCGCTCTCACCCAGGATCATTATATCCCAAACGGAAGCCAATTATTACCTGTAACAAGGCCTGGAAAAAAACAGAGGACTTTTAAAAGTTCACCTAAGAAACACCGAAACGGGGTGAGGGGTGGTGGATGGGGGTAGGACTTCGAGGGAGAAGGCCAACCCTTAAAGCATCTCGGGCTCCAACGTTTTAAAAGCCAAAATACGTACAAAGACCCCAGGCAGAGAGAGGTACACAGACACTCAGTCATCCCGACAGAATGGGGTGCCAGGGGTTCCGTAAGACCAGCCTTCGGGATCGAGGCTCCGATGTGTCCCGGGAAGGTCTGGGAAGCCAGGCCAGGTCGCGTTGTGGCCGGGCGGTGCGCGCAGCCCCCGCTCCCGGGCCCCTTCCTCTCCCCCTCCCCACGACCAGGCCTCTCCCGGCTCCTCTCCCCTTCTCCCTCCCTCTGTCCCTCCCCTCCCCCCCAAGACACACACAACAAGGCCACCTCCCCCCGAACCCCACCAACTTTCCAGTGCCCCCACACTCCCCACCTCTCAGGAGCACACAGAAGCTGCAGGCCAGGAGGCTCCTCAGGACGGCCCCCATCTTCCCTTCTCGCGTTCTCTTCTCTCACCGGCGAGGGGCGGCAAGAAGACGGGGAGGCGAGGAGCCGGGGCGGCCGCCGCAGCGGCAGGGCTGCACGCTCATGCTTCCCAGCTTCCCAGCGAGAGAAGAAAGAAAGGGGCACGTCAAGGCTCCGCGCGCGCCGCCGCCGCCGCCCTCTCTACCGCGTCGCTCGGCCCCAGGCTCGCGCGACGCCAGCGTCTGCTTCCATCCCGCCGCCTCCTCCCCCGGCGCCCCGCTTCCCCCGCGCAGCTCCTCATTCAGCCTCGGACTCGCGCAGCGGCGCAGGGATACGGCCGGCGCCGCCTCCTGGGATCGGAGGCGAAGACGTGTCCCTGCGCACGGCGAGCCCCCTCCCCCGGCGCTGCCCCCTGCACGGCTGGGGAAAGGAGTCGGCAACCGCACGCACGGCCTCCGCGTAAGACCCCGGGAGAGGTGCTGAGCTAGCAGAGGCGAGCTGGCGAGGGAAGGCCTCCTCCCGGCGGCGCATTCCATCCGGGATTCTTTCCCGGACCGACCGCTTCGGCCCTCCCCGCGGAGGGCGTGAGGCGGTTCCGAACAACGTTGGAGCCGGCGTGGTCGGGACTACTTTCTGCGGCTCGGCCGGGCAGCCGTCTGTCCCGGTCTTTGTGCGGCCGCCGCTGGCAGGGCCGGGTTGGGCTCCGGGTCCGCGTCCCTAGCCGCCTGGGACGGCCCAGCCGCGGTGCACGCGAGGGGAGGCACGGCGGATCCCGCTGCGGCGAGATCAGCTCCGTCTTCGGGGTTGGAAACCGGTTTCAGCATCGTTTTTTTGGGGGGGGTGGAGGAGTTCTTAAACGCTGGTTACACTGGCTTTCAACGTGGATCTGGTGAAGGATGTCAAAACGCCTATTCAAAACTGAGATTGTTATTTCTCTCCTGCCTTCCCAGAAGTACAAACTGCCCCCAGAATTAAGCCCGACCAACCCTAAAGATTGCTAAACTGACAAAATTTCAAGATACATGCGTCAAAACCTAAGACAGAAAAAAGGGACAATTGGACAGAACTATTTAAGATTTCATAAGTTGCATATAATAACGAACGTTTGGCATGCTTTGATGATCAATTATTAGCTTGAGAAGGAAAGGATTCCCCAGAATCTCAGACTGTACACAGCCTCTGCCGCTCCCAATGCACTGGGCATTCAGGAGTAATGGCCCAGACGCCTCCTGAAATCACCTGCCAGGCGTCAGTCTGGGCAGAGGCACTCCAAGAGTTAACCCTAATGGAGCCATCAGATGCATCCTGCCCAGCTGACACACGCCCTTACCTGGAGGCAGATGGGCAAGAAAGTGGAGCTGCTACCGCAGTGTTATTGAAATACCCTAGCTTGACTTGACTATAATAAATACATTTTAAACAACCCTGCTAACTCCATTTTGCCCACCCTGAGCTATGTTGCCCACCCTGAGCTATGTAGGGCATTCTGTTCTGAAAGCCTGTGGTCTGAGACGCCTGGCATCTTTGTAACCAATTTTCTGAGAAACGGGGCCCACTGACCTATACATCCGGTACTTGTAACCGTGCAACTGCTACCCCATATCCTGAATAAAAAACAACTTTAAATAGAAAATTTTTGTTAGGCACCCCCCCTTCCCCCTAACCTGCTCCTTCTGCTTCTATAATAATCTGCTTACCACCCCCGGACCCTAAACTGTATAAAAATGTTGACCGTCCTTTATTCGTGGCCGATAGGTTTGAGCTCTAGCTGACTCTCGGCAGCCGGCATTAAAAGTGGACTCTCAACAAACTCAAGAGTATGGCGCTTCTATTTAATCTCGCTCGGGTATAACATTACAAGTATCTCAGTGACATTGGAGTTCACTGGTACTTGAACATATGTTATATTTGACACTCAAAACTACCCTGGGGAAAGGCAGGTTTCTTTACTTATTAACTTTATTGCACAGAGGAGGAATATGAGAACCTGAAACGTTAATGACTTACCCAAGGCCACTCAAGTAGTGAATAGCAGGACCTGAGCCCAATCCAGGTCTCTGACTTCAGTCAGTTCCCTCTAAGAAATGCGTGCTGAACCAAGGTGTGGCAGGTTTGTAAGCAGATGGACCGCAGAAAGAGCCAAATCACTTTCTCTCAAATTCACCTAACAGTCTATCCACCGTTGACTTAAATGGCCTGCTTCTAAGAACCAAGTCAGTTTTGTGATCTGGTTTCCTCAAAACAGAAAACTGAGATCAGATTTTTCAGCAATAGCCTGGAGAATGCGTTGCTGTGAAGCTCATTAGGCTCTAGAGACACTAGAATGTAGGGCAGAAAGCACGAGCTTTGGAATAAGATGTGGGTTACAATCCAAACCCCACCAGTTATTATATGTGTGACCTTGGGCAAGATATTTAAATGCATTTCACCCCAGTTTTCTCATCTGTAAAGCAGGGGTCAACAACTCCTTCAGGCTTGTAGTGTGCTTAAATTAAATTATATAAACGGCTTAATATATACGAGGTGCTTAGTAAATGATCAGAACCTTCCACTGTCACCTCCTTCAAGGTGAATGGTGTTATAGTAACTGGGAATCCTTGGGAAATAATAGAAGAGAGATCAAATAAAATGCTCAAATGTTTATTATAAGGTTATTTGTAGCTATAGGTAGTGAACCACTGAAGCTAATGAAAGTTAACCTTCGGGGCTGGGCACAGTGGCTCTCACTTGTAATTCCAGCATTTTGGGAGGCCAAGGCCGGCAGATCATGAGGTCAGGAGTTCGAGACCAGCCTGGCCAACATGGTGAAACCCCATCTCTACTAAAAATACAAAAAAATTAGCCAGGCATGGTGGCATACGCCTGTAATCCCAGCTACTCAGGAGGCTGAGGCCGAAGAATCACTTGAACCCAGGAGGCAGAGGTTGCAGTGAGCCGAGACTCTGTCTGGGGGGTACAAAATAAGTTAACCTTCAGGACCCCTCACTTTGACAGGCCTCTTCCAATGTCTGGGGAGGGGCCCTTGTGATATGTCCTATTTGCGAAACAAAGATAATTTTGAATTCTTTTTCTGTATAATTGTATTATAAAAAATTGTGTAAGCTTCAAGTCCCACAAAGCCAGGATGTATTCCTATTTATAACAGAAAATGGGGTATGACCTAAACCTCCTTAGACTATAAACCTAAGTAGGGGAATGAGATAATATACATTGCAACATGGTGAAACCCTGTCTCTACTAAAAATAGAAAAATTAGCTGAGCATGGTGGTGTGTACATGTAGTCCAGCTACTCTGGAGGCTGAGATAGGAGAATCACCTGAGCCCAAGGGGTGGAGTTTGCAGTGAGCTGAGATTGCACCACTGCATTCCAGCCTGGGCCACAGAGCAAGACCCTGTCTCAAAAAAAAAAAAAGAGAGAGGCCAGAAAGTGGCAGGTAAAGCACTGATTGAGGCCAAGCACAGTGGCTCACACCTGTAATCAGAGCACTTTGGGAGGCCAAGGTGGGTAGATCATCTGAGATCAAGAGTTCAAGACCAGCCTGGGCAACATGGTGAAACCCCATCTCTACTAAAAATACAAAAATTAGCCAGGTGTGGTAGCACACGCCTGTAATCCCAGCTACTCAGGAGGCTGAGGCAAAAGAATCACTTGAACCCTGGAGGCAGAGGTTGCAGAGAGGCAGAGGTTGCAGTGAGCCAAGATCATGCCATTGCACTTCAGCTTAGGTAACAGAGTGAGACTCTGTCACAAACAAACAAACAAATAGAAACACTGATTGAAAGTGCTACCAACTAAAGAAGGTATGATCAATAATGGCAAATACAGTGTTAACAATGGAGAGTTTGCTATAACAAGTGCTGAAAAGAGGACATTGTGACTTAAAACTTTCTAAAAGGTCATTGATGGGACCATACATTATGCCAACGTTTTAGGAAATCAGTCTGGGAGTAAAATACACACACATTTAAACTGGAACCCTGGCCAGGTGCAATGGCTCATACCTGTAATCTCAACATTTTGGAAGGCTGAGGTGGGTGGATCACCTGAGGTCAAGAGTTCAAGACCAGCCTGACCAACATGGGGAAACCCCGTCTCTACTAAAAATGCAAAAAGTAGGCAGGCATGGTGGCTCCTGCCTGTAATCCCAGCACTTTGGGAGGCCAAGGTGGGTTGTCACAAGGTCAGGAGTTCAAAACCAGCTTGACCAACATGGTGAAATCGCATCTCTACTAAAAATACAAAAATTAGCCAGGCATGGTGGCGCACACCTGTAATCCCAGCAAGGCAGGAGGCTGAGGCAGGAGAATCACTTGAACCTGGGAGGCAGAGATTGCCCCATTGCACTCCAGCCTAGGTAACAAGAGTGAAACTCCATCTCAAATAATAATAATAATGATAAAATAAAATTGGGCAACAAGAGTGAAACTCCATCTCAAATAATAATAATAATAATAATAATAATAATAATAAAACCCTACTTCTCAGAATTTATCCACAGAAACAGAACTCCATAGAGATATATATACACAGATATGTATTATAACATTATAATAGGAAACAAAACGAAAACAAGCCTACAAAAATGGCAGTTTTCCTGTTTCAACCTAACCAAAAGAAACTGAAGGCTGCTTTAAAAAAAAAAATCGCTGATAAAGTGCAAAATATAGTCACTGGCGACTTTAAGCCAAAGCAGTTTCAGCAGAGCTATGGACAGCCAAAGCAAAAGTGCAATGAATTGAGAAATTAAGGGGAAGCAGGGAGGGAGGGCAGTGGTTTTTCCAAAATCTTGTTAAAGGAAAGAGATCACTTGGGTGGCTGGAAAGGAATTTGAGGCTGAAGGAATTTGGGAGTTGACTTGGTTAGGGTTGATTGCTCATTTTGTTTTTAAGTTTGAGAAGAATATGATCATATTTATAACCTGAAAGTGATCAAATAAAGAAAGAGAGCGGGGAAAGTGATTCAGAGACTTCACAGAGGATCTGGAGCCTAGCAGAATGGATCAGCCTTGGATGGGAGGAGAAGAAGAAGGATTTCCACTTCTAGAGGAAAGGAGAATGAGTGTGGCTGCTTGACCTTCAGCTCCCCTTTCTCCACTCCC